CCGTACTCCTATCTTATGGCCTTACAAAAAGTTGACGACTCTACGTGTTTCCTGAGGATGACATTGTAACGTCGTCAACTTTTTGAAGGCCATAGATAGGCCTAAATAAAATGTTTTTAATTGTGTACCAGTCTAACGTTGAATATTATTTATGATTTTAACAGTAAAAAACAATTATTTTTGATGTTTTTGTAAGCGTTTTAATAATACACAATCTGTAAAAGATTGAATCATCAAGGTTTAAAAATGGTACAAAAAATATAAGTAATACAGTTATCAATTTTTAGGTTTTCTCAAAACGCTTACAGTTGAAAATAATAGTTTCCATTGTAAAGATCTCAAAATGCTATGAAAAATATATAAGTAATACAATTATTAATCTTTAGTTGTTCACAATATGCTCACAGTATTACTAGATAAATAAATTATAATAATTTCTCACTTGTATTGTTCACACCAGTAGTTGTGTTGCCAATATCGAATTTCTGCTAATGATACACCACTGATCCACATAACACCAACAGACAGGCAACCTGCAAATAATCTGTAAACAACATATGTATCTTTATCATAATTCTGTTTTATTTACAAGACAAATTTTTGTATTTATGAAAGGTATTACAGTAAATTACATAAAATCAAATAATAATATTCTGAAAAAAAATTAATAAGTATAAAAAAAGAAATTAACTTTTTAATATTTATCCTCAAACTCTTACATATGAACAGCAAACATCTATTACTTCTAAATGAACATACATCTCCTTAAACCAACTGTATATGCATGTGTATTTATGCCTACATCCAATTTACCTGTAAGACATTTATTAATTTTTCATTTTATTTTTTGGAGAAAAGAACATTTTTAAATATCTGAGTATCCTTAAACACTGAAAAATAATCTTAAGTGCCATGTAGAACTCCTATGTCATATGTAGTTGATATACTTATTTAAACAGTTCTATTAGCTTCATGTGCCATGTAAGAAAGTATGAAATATGGAAAGAAAAAAGGTAAACATATTGCAGACTGAGACAGATGCATTAACAATACTTTGTGGCAAAATTTCCTCTAGCAATCAGTACAAAACCCTAAATTAAAATATTAAAATAATATAGATATTAACTTCCTTTCAAAATATTAGAGTTGCTGAATACTAAAGATGGTTAATTATCAGATATGTTATTCAAGTAAGTCAATAAAAAAATATTTGAGTATTAATATTGGTAATTAAAATAAAATGTAAGAAAAGCACTATCGTTAACATTCCTTCAACAGCCAGCTCTCTTGATCAGCAAACAATGAAATAGAAATTGTTTAAAATTCTGACAACAATAAAAATTCAACTAACAGACACAGATGTTCAGATACAATTTAATATAACAATGTCTTTTTACACGAGTCTTTTATTTTTGCTAAAATATACTTGAAGGAGAAGCTGTTGAGCCATGAATCTGCTGTTGAAAAAATAATGCAATATATATAATTCAAATTAGATGACTTATTAAAAAAGACAAACAGCACTGATGGAAAGAATGAACATTTAGAAATCAAAAAGTTTCAATTTATATGGTTTAAGCTAATAATGTATTTTTACAATATTTTTCATAATGTTTTAGTAAAATTTGAGAAACTTAAAATATTTTCATCTCCACTTTTTACTACTTGTACTCCAGCAAAAGCAATTTATGACAATAAGTAGAAACAAATTTTGTGCCCATTCAGTAAAACAAAAAATATTTGAACTAGTTAAAAAAACACGACATTAGCTGTGTTTTAAAAAAAATCTCAGTTAAACAGTGACCAAAATAAATTTCTATCCTCAAAAGACATTTTCACAGAATTAAATTTAAATTCTTCACATGAAAAATATGTTTTAGAGAGGGTTTTCATTTAGTAATTCAATATAAAATTTACCCCAAACTTCCACCACAGAGACCACCAACAGCCATAGCTCTTAAGCCCATCTTGGCTTTCCATAAAGTTCCACATGTTACTGTGGGAAAAATAAATCTTTTCATATATTTCCTAATTTACCTTTCAAAATCATAAGTAAGAAAACATATGTCTTCTTGGTCAACACTCAATATCATATTAAAGCAGGAATACCAAGTTTTATTATCTAATGTTAATGAAATACTAACATCCAGGCCACATACATCCAAATTTTTTGCTCAGATAAGTTGTGAAATAAAACTGCTGTACCAGACAAGTAACAAAACAAGGACTAACATTATTTGCTGTTATGTTAGGACTAATTCAATATTCTTTTAGAAAAATACAGTAGTTAAATCTTGTTGAAATCATCTAAAACAAACTCTAACTTGATTGCAACAATTACACAAGTGCTAATCATTCAGAGTTAATTTATTATATATATATAGCTCATTTTACTTGACTTTTTTAATTCCTACGTTCAACTTAATTTTAATAACTCTTTCATTAGATAAGTTCATTCATTAAAAAATGGCAACAAAAAATTTAAATGTATTTCTACACTGCATGTTATATGATCTGAAATGCAAGTAACTTGGTCATTTGGCAAGAGGTGGCTTTATATATATCTTTACAGTTCATGACATTTCACCTCAATATAGAGTATCACCACTGCAAACAGGTGTTGCATGCCTAAAATCAGAATCATGATAAGGCTTTGCAGTATCCTCAATCACTCCTTTGAGAGAGAACTGTTTTTCAGGGCATCTCTAATATCTGAACTCACTTAAAAGAATGTGGTATTTCCCAGAAACATCCACAAATGCTCAATGAGACTTAAGTCTGATAAGCATGCAAGCTGCTCCAATCAGTCAATCCCTTTGTCTTCAAGAAATATTCACAAGTTTAGAATGGTGGGAGCAAGATTACCAACTAAAGGCCAACTGCACTACATATGACAGCACAAAAGGTCATAGGATGTGATCCTATAATGTGTGGTGTTCATAGTATCATTCCAGAGGATTTAAGTATTGATACATTAATCTATTTGTATCACATTCCTGTATGAAAATGGGAGTCAGATTTGGTTCCAGATTCTCTTCAAATGATAGTATACATTTGCTAAATAGCTGTAGAGTAAAGTGTGATTCATCTAAAAAAAAAAAGACTATTCCTCTACACACTGTTAGTCCACTGGATGAGTTATTGGCACCATTGTAGACTAGCTCTTTTGTGCCTTACTCTGAGTAAATTGCACATTGATGGACACTTATACAGGCCAGAATTTTAAAATCAATTTTTAGTATATGTAAATTGATACATTATCTAGTTACAATTATTAACATCTGACTCTGTTGAAGCATGTACTCTACAAACAGTGACCCAGAATTGACAGCTAGAGTTCATCTGCTTATGTTGTTGATGATGGTCTGCCTTTTCCAAATGTTTGAACAACAGACTATAAGTTTATAACCAATCCTACACTTTGCTAATGAAACTTCAAAGCATTTGTGGCCAACTTGCAATGGTCTGTATCGACTGATTGGCTTCCACTCATCCAAAGGGTCTCCACATGATTGAAACATCTAAATATTTTCTTTAAGGTCCAGCTAGGGTTCATAAACAAGTTAAACTCTATAATTCAGTTCAAATTGACAAAAGATAAAAAATTGTTTGAGTCAGTTATGTATGACATAAGCTGAATGACAAATCATGTCAGGTCACACAACTGATCTTCAAGTGCATTGATATACATAACAAAGAACTGAGGGGGAAGATTAATAATACCTTATATCAATGGTTATTCCTTTGTCATAGTTATGGTGTTAAAAGTTCTAATTATCCTTTAACTGTTTACGATGTAAAACAAAAACTTCAAAATATATAATTTTTTCATGACAGCTTACCCTAAAGAGCCAAAAGTCTATAGTTTTTACAATATCAGGTAATAAAAAACATATGTTAGTAGAAATAGATAAGAAACCTACCTCCAGCTGCAATATGTTCCCAGACAGATGTTTTGTTTCTATACACACCAACTGAAGTTATGAATAGCCTGAGAAAAAGTTCAAAAGCTTAATTAATTAATTTATATGCAATTTGAAACAAATTAGAAAAAAAAGGCATAAATATAATATTACATACATCAATAAAACAATCTTACTGTCATAAAAATTAAGTTAGGTTCTTTATCTTTCTGGTTATAACCCCCTAGTGACAGCTACTAATGATCACTATTACTACACACTGGGTACCTTACAGTGTAATGTGGGAATATGGACTTGTAATTTTTATTTTTAACAAACTTTATTTAGTTCCTTATGATGTTTTTAATAGTATTCCTGAACAAAACTACATACAATTAAGAATAAATAAGTTGATACTGACTAAAAAGTCACACACACCTACACCCATTAAGAATTATACAAGGGTGTACCCATACCACATTTCATATTAGGTTATGATTATTATAAAATTTACCTCTAGAGTACACTGTATCCCTATGGGTAAGAATTAAGAAATTTAAACTTGTAGGTAAACAGTAAATCTTGACTAACTGTAACATACATATTATATGCTTGCACCATATTTATCAAAATAGGCATTTGTGTGTGTGCAGATATGTGAACTTTTTTGTTGTCATTGTTGTGTCACAAATAAATATTGTTATTAATAAAAATAATTTTTTATATCTTACAGTTTTTAAATATCATTTGCATAACCTCTAGATCCTGCTAAATTAAGTTTTTTAGCAAAACTTTACATTTCATCTGTTATTTTCTCTACCCTAACATTAATTGTACTGAAATCAGAAATATAAGATAAAAAAATGTTGAAAAATATGAAAATAAATCTAAAATACCCATTCTTCTTTCTAGAATAATCACACATTCTACAAGACATTTATACTCTGCTTATTCTTACAACCAAAGCTAATATTTTTCATGGATTTCTTTATTGTTACATTTAAACCCTTCCAGAATGTAGTAAAAAAACCTATTTATTATGCAGGAAAGCTTTGTGTAAACAAAGGATCAAGTTACCAGCATGGACACTGAATTATAGTTACATCTTGTGGTATGTATGTGCTACCATGAGTAATTTGTTTAGTTTTTCTTACTTCACCAAACGAGTTTCTAATTTTTACATTTTAGTTACTTTTATAATGATAAATAAAAAATATATATAAAAAAACAAGAATTTTAGTACTTATGTCTGGAATCATGTCTTTTGCAAGCTTTTGTGCTCATAAGAAAGAAGCCCCTGAAGAAAACTAAGCCTAGTTTTTCATAACAAATGAGATTTTAATTCAAATATGCAAATTAAAATACAAATTATTGCCATATACAAAAAACTGAATGTCTTAAAACTTCTATAATTTAACTGGCTTTCTAACTAAGCTGTAAATTAGTTAAAATAATTCTGCTGGATGAGCTAATCTCCAAGAAAAATGGCAGACAATGTAACTGAGAACAAAATCGTTTCAGAACTAATTATCTAATCTATTCTAACCTTATACAATTCAGTAAGTTTAAATGTCAGAGAGAATTACTGACACTTTTTAAAAGACAGGATGTGTTAGGAAGGATGTGGCACGTGGGTTTCACTTTATTGCATTTATCTCAGTAAAGCAAAACTTAAGAATAAAATTTACATTTTGATATAATTTACTTATTGATATAATAATTTATAATGAAAACCACAAAAAACTTTTAAAAACTTGCTTGACCTGGCTCTACAACACCACTGTCTGTGATTAAGAACAGTTTAACTCATGAAATGTTATATGCCTGTTATTAGGGCAGAGACACACTCATTGGAAATATGTAAAATTTTCTAATTTCCATGTTTCCATAGTGAACACAAACTAGTGAATAAGGCTTGCCAATGTAACCTTTAATATTTACTATTAATGTTACTGAAGTTCCAAAACTGTACTTTGTATGTATCTACTTCGCAGAACAGCAGCATACAACTACATGTCAGCTACTAAGATACTGGTAACCATTGGAACAGCTACTTCAAAGAAAAAACCCATTAAACACTGAAGAGTATACACGTGAAAAAAACTACAATCTTTCCAAGAGTAAACTTAGTCTAAAACCATTTACAAAATAAAGTTTTCTTTTATGTTTCCAGCATAGTGTAGTAGTGTTGCTAAAATCCTTTTAAAACTTACTTATTACAGCAGAGATGTAAAGGTTGATTAATCACCAAGAGTGTGACTTTTTTATTTATAGTAATCTCATGACAAAAACGTGAATGACTGGTGTAGCTGTATCTGTCTAGAAAAGTCACAGGGCATGTTTCCCAATATATATATTCTTTTTTATGAAGCAAAAGAGAGTTATACTCTAAATGGCTTTTCATTGATCCAAAATTCCATAATGCATAAAGATTTGCATTCTGAGCCGCAAGACCATGAAAAATGATCAAACTCTGTGATTCAGTCACTGATTGAGTGAAAGTTTGCACATCTGTTACAGACAGTTCTTAATTTCTACTAGAACCTGTTTTGTTTTGTTTTTAAACTAAAGTTTTAAATAATTTTAAAGTTGTCCTACATCAGTGTCATCTCCTCCAGCCCCATCCCAAATAGTAACCTCCATAATGTTAGTTTTTATCTTCAAAAACTCACCTACCCACCATCAACAGGGATCAGTTATACCTTTTTTTCTAGCATTCAATCATGATTATAGAGGTACTATACTGGATGGTTTATAAATGAACAGAAATTGTTTTCAAATTACAGGATTACATTTCATATGTAAACTAAAATTATTCATGGGGTACTTAAGGATTTTCCTAAGCAATCATTTAACACAGAGTAGGAAGAAAAAAAAAGCTGCTCATATAATAAATCTGGATAGATTATGAAAAATAAGAGACAAATACAATTATTTTTACATTTGAAAAGCTGACTGGCACCTCACTGTATATTTCTTTGACACAAAAAGCTGAAATATTGCAATTTAACTTGAAGTTAGCTGTATTTTCAACAGACATTTTACATCTTTAGATGAGAGAATATAATTTAAGCAATAAGGGTACACACCTGAAGATCCATTACAATCTAATTATTAAAAATTTTTAGTTTTTTAGTTGTATTGGTTTAAAACATTAGTGTATTTATAGTTAGTTGGCGAAACAGTCTTTATTATTGTATATATTATTAAAATTTATTTTTGATCAGATCTAAATAGTTAGCTTACTTTTCATCAATAGTTTATAATGAACCATATTCCTGCAAATAACAGATCTTAAACCCATAAATTCACAAATTATCAATAACTTCTGATCAAATCAAGCTACCTAAATAGATCACAACTAGAACTTAACCCAGTCAATAGTGTAGCTAATTTAATAGTCAAGAAATAAAAACTTATAATGATAAAAATGCACTGATTAATCAGTTAAGTACTTTACTGTTATTAAGAGTAAAAAATACAAAAACTGAAATTTTGTGGCACAATGAAAGGTGAAATATTTATTATTAGTTACAGCTAACAATGTGCTTGAAAAAAAAAGTTACTTTGCTGCTACTGATATGTTTTGTCATATTATAAGAATTATACAAACATGTACAATACAGGAAAACTTGCACATTGCTTTGGGCTGGTTTTCTGTTACATTTAATAATGAAAACTTTGGTTGGCACAATATTATCTCTACAAAAAGTAGAACAGTGAGTAGGTAAAAAACAACATTTCAATAAAGTGGCAGATTTTTAGTGAAAATCAGGCAAGTATGTAAAATATTTAATTAACAGATGCTTTAGTTAACTTTACAAAGTAGGTAATCTCCACACTGGACAACAAATCCCATACCTTAATCATATGTTATATTGTAATCTATGTCACTGCAAAATAAAGAAAACCTGAATAAACAGACAACCTCAAAACCTTTTTAGTTATGAAAGAATAGAAAAGTTTACTGTTTGCTTCAGAGCACTGAAAAGCTTACAATAAATAACTTGTAGTAACTTGCACAGTACAGTCCACAAAAAACTTGGTTTCAACCCTATCAGTGTTTCTGCCCTTACTGAAAGACATAGGTTTTATTACTTTATTGCCTTGATCAATCACTTCAGTCCTCACTTGAGAAAAATGGTGAAAGCATTTCAGAAAATGTTTATTTAGTGAAACACACTCATTCAAAAATAAACTAATTTAAATTCTATTGCTTTTAATGGAATATTTTAGAACAGTTCATATTACAGTAAATACTGTATATTAAGATACTAGAAAACATTAAATGTTAATAGAGAAAACAAATGGTTTAACATACTTACATATATGACCCAGTAAACAATGCCATTCTCCATCCCCATTTCCAAGCTCCTCTACACATGTCTAACATTAACCGATCTTGCAACCTCCGCTTTAAAGCACACAAAAAAAAATCACTTTGGCAAAAAGAAACAAACCTAAACTGTTCAAAATGGAATACAATAACCATATTGAATGTTATCAAACCTAAAAAATGCACATCAAATACTAAACTTAAGATTAATTATTATAACCTCCTAATAACAGGAGTCATCTGTCAAATCCCAAACTTTCCAAGTCAAATGTTACCAGAACAGATAAACATATATGTAGAAGTACAACACTTTTAAATCTTTTCTCAGAAAATAATAAGTAAAACCAAAAAAAGTTTAAAGAAATTAAGAAAAATTTTTAAAAACAAGGAAACATCAGAAATGTCAACATTGACACACTGTTTCAGAAAGGACATAAGAGGAAATCTACATAAGCATTGGAAAATTTCAACATATATTTAATAAGTAAATTCATATCTAGCTTTTCATTCTACACACACATACGGTTCTACTTAGTATCATGAATGGTGCTTTGTAACAAACCATATTTGAAAAATTAAGTCAATAGTTGTGGATTGTTTTCTCAACCAGATTGACTATTTCGTCAGACAGCCATAGAGGATTAAAGTCAATAGAGACAGTAAAATAAGTATGCTGCTTAGCTACTACATGATCTATGGCAAGTGAAATTGCATACAACTCAGCAGTGATCACAAAATCTATAGAGTTGATCCTATGAGCAAACCACAGCAGAATCCACAGAGTCACTAGATTTCAAACCATCCATAATAATGGAAACAAAAAAAATTGTTCATAGATGTTTAGCAAAGAGAAGATGGTACTTCCCATCAGATGTAACCAATCTCTTCAGATGACTCAAATAAAGGTCACAAGTAGGGATGGTAAAATGCTATGGTGGGATGGGCTGATAATTGTACTCGCCAATATCAGACCAAATTCAGTCAACTGTGCATAGATATAAAGGCCAAAAGTAGGAATGGCAGACCACCTATTTCCAAAAAGCACGTCCCACTGATGCATGAAGACATTATGCCAAGTGGGCTGCTGTGATAAAGATCAGAGCTTTGCAGAATATTGCAAAGAAAGTTATAAATGTCTGAAAAAAATGGTGGTTCATAGGACTCAATGTACAAATTCTGGTCTATAAAAGTGCTGAAAGCCTCAGTGTAGAGCCAAAGCCCCTGATGACATACAGGGTCCAACATTTTCAAGGCTGAGTCCCTGGCTAAATCAAATGAAAGAACAATAAATCTTCAGCATGGAAAATCTATCTGCTACAAGAAGTGGAAGAGAGGGTACAGAGGATGTTCAGTGTCTGTGTACAGGGAGCTGCTTAATGTTGTAATAAATGTCAGAATTTTGTCTCAGCCAACAAAGGAATAACAACACTGTTCAAGTGGAGTTCTGAATCAGGGTGCAATCCCTGCTGGTGGCAAAAATGCACACAAAAGATTTGAGAAGGTGAAACAATCTGCTGTGGTCCACCCCAATAAACAAGTGAGAGCAATTTGAAACTGGCAATCAATAAATCTCATATTCAATGACCAACAGAAAATCTGTAAGTCGTTGCTTGTAATTGTAGGAGAAAATTGTTCAGTGATGGCATTGATTTATATACTGAAAAGTATAACACTAGGACATAGCCTTGAGGGACTCCAAATTCCTGTGAAGGATCAGGACAATGTCCAGATCCAACAACTCGGAATGACCCGTCCTTTATAATATATCAAATAAAAATAAGTAAATGATCACTTAACCCATAGAAATGGAGGTCCTAGAGTATGATAAACCTCCATGTAGTGTCGTAAGCTTTCTCGAGATAAAATATAATCGATACAAGATGTTCCCTCTTGAGGAAGGCTTCTCTGATCAATGTTTCAAGTGAAATCAGGTGGTCCATAGTGGAGCACTGTCTACAAAAAGTACACTGAGTACACAAGGAGATTGTTTGATTCCAGGAACCAAACAAGAAAAGCATTAAAATTCCTTTTCAAAACTTTACAGAGACAGCTAGTCAAAGCAACTAGTCTATAGTTCAAAAGAATCTTTGGATCCTTTCCAGGCTTAGAAAAAGGGAGACAATAGCCCTGCGCCAAACATCTGGAAAATTCTCCTCCCTGCCAATTCGGTTAAAAACAACCAGAAGAACAGTAAGAAAAGAAAGAAAAAGATGACACATCATTCCCTAATGAATGTAATCTGGTCCAATCAATGTACTGCTGGACTGATGAAGAGTAATCTTTCGCTACACAAGGGTGAATGGTTTATTACAGTCATAGAGACTAATGGCTCGAAAAGATGGCAACCTTTTGGCTCAAAGCTTGATGGCCAAGAAGGCAGTGGAAGAGGTGGGAGTGCTGGGATAGTGGGATATATATACAGAAGATATCTGAGGCCTGTTTCTGAGTTGGAAGAGAGGACAGCTTTTATGATTCAGAATAAGAAATATTGTTTATGGTTTGTAATTGCTGTATCTCTTTCTCCTCAACTCATTTAGGACATGAACAAAAGAAGGAGAGGTGGGAATCATTACAATTTATGCAATGTGTGTCCAACTGGCATCACAACAAGCACGCATCAATGAATAATAACAAGATGTTTATGAGTGTCCAAACAACTGACATTAGAAATATCTGAGGGGGTTAGGAATATAGAGCCTTTCCTTACAGTTCAGATAACTAGCCTTGATAGTGGAAGGTGGACTTGGGGATGTATACATCAAAATAAAAACATTTGTAGGCACATTATACCATCTTTCCAAGTGAAGGTTCAACAAACACCAGAAACTCCTTGTCCAGAGAAATCAATAAACTGGCTATGCGAGGGAGAAGTCACATCCTGGAAGGAAGAAGGTCATCACATTAGCAAAGTATATTACATCCTTCTGATTCGTCTGTGTAACTGTTTGTAGACTACAGTAGCTATAGTAGGACATTGCACGACCACACAATGATAGGATTACAAAGGTACAACTTCATAAAAACAGTGTTGAGGTCTTGCAGTAGCAAATTTGTCCTCCTCACCTAAGTTCATTGGAAAATCTATTGGGCCACCTTAACATTACCGTCAACAGGGATGTTAATTAGGTCCATCTCAAAGGTCAATCCTCTTGAGGAATTCAAAGTAGCATGGGGAGTAACCTCAAGAGGAATATCCCCAATGGACTTTGATTTCTGGAGGACGTTGCTATGTTGCAGTGTAGATGTTTTGACTAAGATATTCTCAGAACATAACTTCTTGGCCAACTTTGGAGAGCCAGTAAACTCTGCTAATTCTTTCCAAACAAAAAAGGGAGACATCTGCCTTATAGTTTTTTTTCTGATAATGAATGTAGAATAAGGAAGCAAGGTAGAGAAAATTTAGGAGATGGTGCCTGCAGATCAGTCTTCTATTTGTGGTTGTTTTCCAATTATTGTTTATTTCATTATATCTAGATTTTAATTCTTTTTTATCCATGAAAAGAAAGAGGCTTCTGTACCCACTGACTACAGTCACCACAGAGTCCTACAAGGGAATCCACTACACTGTCAAACTAGGACAGTTCAACTATGTCAGGGTTTCCTGGACACTATACCCAAACACCAGCACCAGACATAGTGTCAACAACACTTGTTGAGACTGTCCAATACTGGCACTCGGTCCACCCTAGCCTCATAGGATCAGCCAATTAACCTTAAGGGAGTCACACCAAGGCCGCCTGTCTAAAGGAGTTCAAGGCCAAAGTGGGGTGTTGCAGTGTCCCCAACACCACTAAACCACCAGGATCCTCTCCTCTCTTTTACAGGTTGCCACAAACAGCAAACACATGGGCAGATACTTAGATCTCAGAGGAGGTCCCCTCACCAAGTATAATAATTCAAACTGAGGGGTTCTCATGTTACAATGGTACATTCAGATATCTGATAACTGTGCCTGCCTTTTTTTCCTTCTCTAACACCACTTGACACCAGCTGTGTAATTGGATAAATGTGAAAGAAGCCAGTCCCTACTAATCTTTTATACACACTTGCTTATTGCATTTGTCTTGAGTCAGATTACTAGTGGACTGTCAATAATCCATTTTGTCTGTCATGTGACACAAAGGAGTTTGGAACTACAATTTATAAAACCTCACTTCTTTGTTGTCTATAAAAGAATACAATATAACCATCAATAAGAGAGTAAAATAGATAACTTATTCTAAAAGGAAGTTACATGGGACAAAAAATATTTAAAATGTAATCAAAGTTTTTGCCCTATGTATATGTATGTTACTTGTAACATTTTCTCTAGACCAAGTTACTATAGATAATTTCTTTATGAGGTGTCTGTTTTTTTTCCCTACCAGAATGACCTCATACACAACATTTGATAAAGCAGAGAATGAATTTCTAGCTGCTGAGACACACAGACTAAGTAAGCAATAACAAATATTGTATAAACTTAAAAAAAAAAGCTATTTATTAACTGTCACTCTGATAAAATAGACTTGACTAAGAACTGTACAGTTATGATTAGTTTCTCCAAGGAAATAGTACAGAAATAGACCATGAAAGATGATCAAACTTTGTGACTCAGTCACTGATTGAGTGAAAGTTTGCACATCTGTTACAGACAGTTCTTAATTTCTACTAAAACCTGTTTTGTTTTTAATTTAAAGTTTTAAATAATTTTATAATTTTAAAGTTGCCCTACATCAGTGTTATCTCCTCCAGCCCTGTCCCAAATAGTAACCTCCATAATGTTGGTTTTTATCTTCAAAAACTCACCTACCCATCAACAAGGATCACGTATACCTTTTTTTCTAGCATTCAATCATGATTATAGAGGTACTATACTGGATGATTTATAAATGAACAGAAATTGGTTTCAATATTACAGGATTACATTTCATATGTAAACAAAAATTATTCATGGGGTACTTATGGATTTTCCTAAGCAATCATTTAACACAGAGTAGGAAGAGAAAAAAAAGCTGCTCATATAATAAATCTGGATAGATTATGAAAAATAAGAGACAACTCCACAGATAGCAAATGTATTGAAGTGAGGAGAGCCCAGATGAGAGCAAATCCCTTGAAAAGGCAAGGATTGAGGAATCACTCCATGGGAAATATTAGATCAGATCCTGAGAGATGATCCACATAGTTCAGGCCATTGAAAGAACGAGCCCAAAAAAAAAGGAGGTCAAGCATTTGAAAACACAGAGTGGGGCCAAGTGTCCCACCGGCAATCGATGTAGGATAGGACAGTCAAGTTGACCAAAATAATCATAATTAAAAGACCCATACAACAGAGAGAAAATTATTCAAAGCTTGCTAGACTGCTAAAAGCTCCAAAAGGTTGATACGAAGATCCAACACCACTTGGTTTCATAAACCAAAAATTCCAAGAGTCGAGACAATAGCCCTAACACATCAGGGATGCGACTGTAAAAATATGAAGGTCTGGACAGGAGAGAGGAACACCCTCCATAGGAAGAGCCATCTCAAGCCCACAGGTGAAAACATCATACAGGTAAAGGGCAGAAAGACAGGGGATCCCAAGAGAGGTGCCATTGATCCTGCAGAATCCAATGTAAAAGATGCATGTAAGCACATCTCAAGGATATAAGTGATACTACACAATCCTAAAATTCAAAAGGGACAGAACCTTTCACACAGGCAGAAAAAGAGAGGAGAGACCTGTGGCAATCAAATTCTTCATGGCTTGCAAATGAAGCATAAAAGGCTATGCTCTTCTGAGAGGAGAACTGCAGAACACTCCAAAATGAACCTGATATTGGGCAGGTGTGACATGAGCTTTTTCCAATTTGACTAGCCAACCCAGATGAGCTGCTGTCCAAAGAAAGAAAGGAATAAAGTCAGAGGGTCATGTCATGATAGAGCTAAAAGAATCCAGTTGTATACATAATAGTAGAAATAGTTCAAATCTCAAGCAAGATGGCAAGCAAAGGCACACACTATGTGACAAAAACATATGGGGTCCATCCCAGGCTAATAGCTCAGAACTGGTGAATCCGACCCTGAAAAACAAACCGAAGGTAAGGTCTGGATAACTTGGGAGATGGGAATGTGAAAATAAGCATCAGAGACATCTGCCATTGTAATCCACAGCCCTGGAAAAAATGAATTTTTCTCAAACTCAAAGGATAATCACAGACTAGAATGTCAGCATTGAAGTCCATGGACAAAGTAGAGGAATATGTTGGTGGGCTAGTGAGCAGAGAGGAGGTGGATGAACAGAAGATAGTAAGTGAAATAGGAGCTTAGAAGAGGCAGGACACACAGGAAGACAAGAAAAAGCATAAAATCAAGTACCCAACCAAAACCCCATAGCAGAGGAAAAGAGCCAGATAAGATGTAAACATTCCTGAGCAAGAAGATCCTTCCCCAAGAAATCTCAGCAAGGAAGTAACCAAGAGAAAAGGAACAACGCTGAGGAAGAATAATGCATCAACACAGAGAAAGAAGGGAATTTGTATCCATCAAAAATCTCTTAGGAGAACAGTGGATTGCCTCCAAAAGGAAATGGATTAGAGATCGAACATGTAGTGAGGGAAAGGCATGAAAATTGAGCCTAAAATAAAATAAATAGAAAACAATGGATCAGAATCCCAAGCGTAAAGAAAGAACTTGTATATCAGGGGAAGGAAGAAAAACAGAAAAGGCAAAAGAAGGAGCCAAATGAAAAAAAAAAAGGGAAAGTGAAGAGTAGCATAATGCCAAAGTAAAACCATGTCTCCACTGGAAGAAGTGTTTGCAAAATTAGGCAGTGAGAAAAGCCTGACTAAAATCAAAATCCTCATGGACTGGGTTTATAGGAGGAAGGAAGTTTGTGTCAAGTCCTGAAAGAGGCTGAAGCTGCATGCAAGACTCCACCACCTGCTGCACAACAGCCATCACATCACCTAACAGACAAAGAAGCACCTGACACCATTGTGGTTGTCTGTCTAGAGTGAACAAAGTCCCAATGTTCAACACTAGATAGCATGCAAATGACCATCACTGTGTAATTCATGCTGTGGAAAATAAAAGACACACAGTTTGCAAAGGCAGAATTTTAAAAAACAAGAATAAAAAAGAATTTCCACAGCAGTTGGTTTTGTAGGTATTTCACCAAAACATTGATGTTGAGAAATCTCACACAAGCACAAAAAGATACATCTTAACACACAAATGCCAAATTGAGAAGTGATGATTGAACAATCACTACAAAGGGAGTCAGCTGTGCTAGGAGGCTATGTCATACCCCCTATTAGTAGAGGGTTGTTCCATGCCCATTTGCATGCAATAACACAGCAATATCACATGGAAATATGTAAGATTAGATGGGAGCCTCAAGCTAGTAGTGAGCAAAAACGTTCACATGTAGAAGGCAATATTGAACTGACATAACTAGATGTGAGAAAAGAGTATCAGGACTAGTAATGCTTTCAAATCCTGCCTATTCGGAGGTAACGTATTAAATAAGTATTTAATTTTCTCCATATGTTATCTTTGAAAGTAAGAGCACAGTCCAAAACAAATGATGTAAGTAGTTTTCTTCTCTCCAAAGGTGAACGTTTTAGTAATATTGCTATCAGGGATAATTTTTTGAAACAGGCTATAAATTTTCTCACAGCTTTTGTAGGAATAACTTGATTTGAAAGTCATCATGGCCCACACTACTTCAGCTCTCCAGTTGTCATCTCTTGACACCTCATCATTCAGTTTACCCTGTAAGTGTCTAAATAACAAATTAACAGGCTAAAAAATAATCATATTTTTGTAAAGTCATGAAATAAATAAATTGGATAAAATGAGGGAGAAATATCACTGATTAGGCAGATCTAAAAGCCCTGTTTACATTCAGAAACTTTTGTTAAATTACAAATAAATGGCTATGACATTAGAATATAAAAGCAGGAAATTTTACATAGTCCATAAAGTTACTGTCGTACTTTGTAGATGTTTACATTCCCATCATTTAGCCTTGACCAAATATTCCTCTCTGCTAATAGTGATTGCAGGAGCTTCTGTGGAGTTGAGTTAGACAGGTCTTAAAACTTTATAAAATGTTGACCTAACCTGAACTGCCATACCCTTTGGCTGTACCAGTACTATTGCTGTTGTTGAGCTTGTTGGCTAGTTAGGTCTAAATAAACTGACTAAAACTGGTGTCCTTGATGTTTCTGATGGCTTCCTCAACACTAAAAGAGCATGTCTTTTGTCACACAGATTACTTAGTATACAGCTGTCTCATCCATATTCCCAAAGTTGAATGCTTTAGAACACACAGTACAGCAGGCTCTGCGTCAATCATTCTGAATATCTTTTGAAAGGCAGCCAGTGTACTCTGCCTTCTCAAGTCAGGATTCATTCAATAGGCACTTGCCTACAAACCTTCCTTTTCTGATCACAAGTGCAAGTGCCTAGGCAATTGTTTAATTGTATAGATATCTGAAAGGAGCCACAGATGTAACAATCCCAAGCATCTAAAAAACATGCTAATAATGTGCTTTTATTTCAATATGACTGAATTTACATGACTTTTGCAAAACCCTGTGGTAAAATCAAATTTTTCCACAATTTTCCATGCCCTGAAAATTACATCTGCAATATTCCAAGACTTTCCCAAACCCGTATGAACCCTGATAAAACTTAACAGGGTAATGGTACTAGTAATCTAAGTACCTATAAACAAATGAAGAAATTCACACAAAACCTTTACACCTAAACACTGGTGTCTGGGATGGAGCTCTGAGGAATGACAGTCATTCCCCAAATACCTTTACCTGTGCAATACATAGTACTATCCACATCCACCCCTCCCTTATATATATGGGGATGTTGTCCTTACTTCTATACTCCTAATTTCATTTTTACAAAGTTTACTGAAGTCTAAAAAGCTTCCTACATATACACACACTACTACCTTCAATTGAATAGATATTTCTTATTAGATTTATAAACTAAAAAATTCAAACTCAGTATCAACAGATAAAACAGAAATACTGCATTTCATTGTCTGTGCTCTCTATAAGCAACAAATGGTTAATTTGTTTTTACACATTATTTACTTATGTTTGTAGTTTTGACATTTCAAATACATTAAAAAAAAAGACACCTTAGCTTCTAGCTGTGTGTTGAACTGTGTTGCCTGGTTTTGTCGAATGAAAGTTTCTACTGCATTCCTAGATGATATTGTTCCTCCAATACAAGCACCGATGAATAAAGACATACCTACTCCACTAGTGATCATTTTCATTTCTGGACTGGAGTTTCCAAACATACTAAATACAAGAACATAAAAAGCAAACAAAAATAAGTAAATGTTGTAAAAATCAATATATCATCATAAAATATCTCTCCAACAAAAATTTAATTACAATAGCATTACAAACACTTGCCTACAATACTATTTTAGTCACCATGAGATATTAGATAACTATCATGTCACTCAAATTTACACATATTATCTAACTTGTAGACCAGTATATCTCTCTTTGTGGATGTATCTATACACTTTTTTTGATAATTGTCAGTGTAATTTATAACTCAAGATCTTTAAGTAAAATGTGTCCATATACCTACATCCATAATATATATATATATATATATATATATATATATATTCCAAGTTTTGCATGTTCCTATGAAATACTGTATTTTACGGCATATAGGACAAACCTTTTTCCTGAAAAAAGCCTCTAAAAATCATCCTGCATCTAATATGTGAAGTTAAAGAAAATGCATCTCTCAGTTTTGCCCCATAAGCTAAATTCTACCTACCGTTTCCCTAGACAACTGTTGATTAAAATATAAAAATTAATCTATACAAAATCTATATCTATTATGTGCAAATTTGATTTCATATGTTGCATGTATGATATTATCATTGAAATAACTTTTCTTGATATGCAAATTTAATGTTTTATGTTTGATGTTATTTGGAGTAAACATTAAATGCTTTGATACACTCAAATGTTTTTTTCCTAAATATGCTTTGCTAAAATAAGGGTGGATCTTATATGCTATAAAATACAGTAAGAGTAAAATTTTTTTTTTTCTATTATTTGTAGCCTACATATTTCACTAACATTTGGTATTCAAATCCCTTTTACATAAGAGGAAACTTGATTATTCCATAGGTATGTAGGGATATCTGTTTCCAACCACATTACTTTTTTAAAATTTAGATCTATATAGGTGACAATAATATCAGGGTATTTGGTGTTTTCAATGTAAATAGTACCTTACACACATGTGAGCTAAATGGCCAGATTAGAAACTCCTTTGGTTCAAATATACCCTTTTCTCATTTTTGAACTACTGTTCAGATGGAAGACTCCAAGTCAGAAGTATCTGCTACTACAAGTTTCATCTGGCTTTGAACCGAACAACTATACCGACTTTCATTCTTATAACATGACCAAAACTAAAAGTACAGAGTGCATACATCATGGTGCATACACTTGGACTACATCCCAGTACATTAACCACTAAGCAACATCCAGCTAAATATATCAGAGCAAATTAGGGTAAATAACATATCAAGATAAGTGACACTCATATAATAACCAAATATAAAAAGCTTTCTAGCAATAAACAGGATTATTAAAATATAGTTACCATATCAAGAACATAAATCTACCTTATTTGACAAAACCAGATTAGTTACTATATGTGTTGAAATGTTATTATTAAAATTATCAGTCTTATCTGAAGGATTTCCTGCTTAATCCACATCCATGAAACTACCAGATCAAAAGTTAACATCATCATCAGATTGCCAGCCTAACATAACCAAATATGTTTTTCTTTTTTTAAACTTAAGACAATTCAAAACTTTTTTGGTAGAGTTTGAAAAAATCAAGAGCTTTAGGGTTGCTGAAAATACTTCAGATACCCTAGTTAAACCAGCAATGTACCTAGGGCAAACATTGTTACTTTGCACATTATGTTTTCAAGCATGAACATAAATACTTCAAACATTTTTTGAGATATACTTATAACATTTTCATTACAATCTAAAGTGCTGGCCAGTGAAATACAATATGGCTGGAGAAGGATTTAACTTACCTACACTGAATTTTTATTCATAGTAAAGACTTTTATAATTTAACATTATTTAAACAATTTATGACCCACCAAAACAAACTTGGAATACTATGGGTATAAAGATACAAGATTCTGGTAAAAGTTTTATATAACTAATTTAAAAATTTTGAACAACAATGTGAGGTTTAATGGTTTGGCCTTATTTTCTCTCAAGCACAAAAGAACTAGAAATTATCTGATTCAAATACTCAGAATTATAAGGAATGGTTTGCTTACCAATGTGTGATTTGCTTGAATTGAATAATAAAGAGGATGGACTACAAACTAAAATATTATGGGTAATAAGTTTAAATTTTGGAAACCCAGACTTAAACTTATTCTTCAGTATAAGCATTTCTTTGTTAATTTAAAATCTCGTGAAAAGATTTGACATAATTTCTTTCACAATTTTGTTAAATGGGTAAACTTGTGTAAAGGGATATATACTCAATTGATTCTTTGGTGGATTATGGGTTATCTCAATGGCTTAAATGGTCTTCTGTCACTGTTCCTTCCTTTATGTTCCTAAGCTATAAAAAAATTACATTTTAACTTTTAAGGTAGATGAGTTATTGTTTAAAGAATAATCACCATCTTCAGAACATAAAAATGATATTAATTATTACCAGACATTTCAGCTGATGCTTTCATTATATTAGATTTAGGAATAAACCAGTGTTAACTATTTATTTACAGTACAATGTTTCTGATTATGAAAAAAATTATCAAACAGAAAGTTAATAAAGCTTCCCGATAGTAATGAACAATTTTGTTTTTGATGAGACTTTTTCAAATATGATGCAACAACATTTTTATAAAAAATGCTGTACCATATTTTTGGTATGTAAAAATGATTATACAACTTTGTCACCACAAAGCCAAAAATTTTTTTACAAGACCACAGTACTATTTTACATTTTTGCATATACTATAATTCTTCTTTTATATGGAATATACAAAGAAATACTTACTCCTTCATAAACATCATTCTTAGTCTATCCCACCCAGTTTCTCCTTCAGGTGGTCTGAACAAATCTTCATTCTGAGAAATATCTATCTCACTCTTCATTCTTTAAAATATCTTTATCTATAATTAACAAAAAAGCCTGTCAAAAAATTATCAAAATCTTTATGTTTTTAACATCTACCTGAAAATTCAAAATCAGAAATGTAATAAATGGCCATTTTACTGATTCAGAATTACTTTATTTTCCAATATCCAATTTTTATGTAACAATGACAGATATGGAAGCAGAATAAAAATTATTTAATTTGAAAATACCCACTAATAGCAAAAGCTCATATCTCATTTTATACACATAATGTTTATCATTTAAACCATATAAAGCTGTTAATTATGGAGCCCAGTAAAACTGGATGCTTCTTATTTACACTAACGATAACGATATAGGCATAATAAGTAAACTATGCTGATGACATTAAGCTGTTCGATATTTCTACCTCCATTAAGGATGTAAAGGTGTTACAGAATGGCTTGGTAAGTTAGACAAATGTTTGGCATATGACAATAAGTACAAGGTAATACATTACAGTTATCATAATCTAGATGACAAGTTTAATATAGATGGGAACCAACTCAAATAGCATGACTAGGAAAAGGATCTTGGCATAGTGGTAGATTTTTCACTCAAACTGTCTATAAAAAATCACTACCAAGGCTTCAATTGGAATACTATGTACAGTTTGGGTCTCTTTATCAAAGAAAGAACATTGACTTATTGCAATGGATTCAGAGAAGAGCTACTAGGATGGTTTCGGGGATTGCATGATTATCTTATAGTTATAGGTATCGATTAAGATCACTTTTCTTTTTTTTTTTTGTAGAAATGAACACAAGATGTGATTTTATTGAAACTTACAAGGTAACTTGAAAGTTTGATAATATAAATGCATCTAATTTCTTTGGGCTGCATTCAGAAAATAAAAGGATGAGTGGACACAAGTTTAAGATTTTGAAAAGACAAGCTAGGTTCCAGTTAAAATAGTTTTATTTTTCTAAGAGTGTGATTGGGTTATAGAATGAATTACCATCTGCAGTAGTGGAACATAGAGCTTTACAAGAGTTTAAGAGACGGAATCGGTGATTTCCGGGAAACGAAAAAGGATGGGTTTAAATCTTTAATTTTCCCAATTTTCATAAGGACAGCATTGAAGATATAAATGGTCCCTTGTCATCCATGTTTGTATTAAATGTGTGTACATGTCCAAAGGAATAGTATCACTGTCACATGACAAGTAAAAACACTAAATCTTGTAAGATGTATACATACTTTCAAATTGAAAATATTTACTGCATTTAAAAAATAAAATTACTAGAGATGTAAAATTATTCTTCTATGTTATTGGAAAATCATAAGGTATTCGTATTTTGGTTTTATAATTTTTTACATTTTTTTTTTCTGTGGGTACCCTTGGTTACATGGGATAAAAATATTTACAAAAAATATTAATTTTTCAATTAAAAGGGCAAATTAACCTAATAAAACAATACATTTGCAATAAAAGCATGCAAGATGGTTCATAATTTACTACCCAACGAGTAGCTCAGCAATAAGTCTGAGGATTTATGGATGCTAAAAATTTGGTTTAGATACTCATGTGGGCACAGCACAGATAACCCATTGTGTGGCTTTGTGCTTCACAACAAACAACTTACTAAAATATTATGTAAAAAAAAAAAAATTATGAGACATTTTGCACTGTGTACTATAAGTTAAAGTACATTTCATTTTAATTTTTAGTTTTACTACACCGATAGTACGTTACACAATCCTAATGAAATTAAGTTATATTTCCATGTACTTCATTTGGATAAGCAAAGATACCAGTAACAGTAGTTTATTATAATTTATATCTCTATACTATTACTATTAGTATTACTAAACTTTACACATTTTTGCTATGATCTTGGATTGTAATTTGTATTTAAATATTAACTAAATTAAAATTCTAAGGTCTTACTTTGAATACTTCAATTTTATACATCCGTGAAAACGGGCCTACTACTACTATTGTTTTTTGTTGTTGTTTTTAGTTGATAATGTAATGATAGTTTCTTTACACTTAATATTTCTTTAAAAATATGGGGGATATTCATGAAGTAATCTCTGTACACTTAGACATTATCTTAATTTTAACGTTTATTGTCGCATCACATGTACTTGGCTCAAAAATACAAATACAACTCCATCTATACATACTTTTTAAAAGACAAAAATATGTGTAACTCGAAAATATAATTCTTTAAATGTATGATGTAAATTTTCACGCTTCAAAGACCCTAATTGTGTTGATAATAACACTTTACAGTGAAATAATGGTATAGAGGAGGATCGATCAATTCTTAAGTTTCCAAAAAGCTTAGGAAAATAATAATCACATTTAACTAAGTGTGAATTTTATTTAACCAACAAATAAATGTATAAACAGTTCAAAACGATCAGTAAAAGCATTTTATATATTTATAGATTATTAATAATGCTACCTATCAGAAGACTATCCGCAAAACGCAGGTTCCGGAAATTGAAACAAGTACTAATGTACAAGCCGAACAAAAAATATTTATTTATTCACAATGTGAGCGTAAATTTTGATTTGGCCCGGCATAGCCAAGTGGATAAGGCGCTCGACTCGCAATCTGAGCGTCGCGGGTTCGAATCCCCGTCCCACCAAAACATGCTACCCCTTTCAGCCGTAGGGGCCTTATAATGTGACGGTTAATCCCACTATTCATTGGTAAAAGAGTAGCCCAAGAGTTGGCGGTGGGTGGTGATGACTAGCTGTCTTCTCTCTAGTCTTACACTGCTAAATTAGGGACAACCAGCGCAGATAGCCCTCTTGTAGCTTTGCGCGAAATTCAAAAACAAACAAACAAGTCTTGATTTAACTGGTTGGCTCCCAATATGTTACAAGTAATAAAAAATGTTTTGAAGGAAATAGGGGTGATATAGGCATGGCAATGATAAAAAGTACAAGGTAGAGATGAATACACAAAACCATACATAAATCCCTACTTAAGTAGCCAAATCTTTCCAAGGAAAACCTTTATCTACAAGAAATGTTGAATTCCTTTCATTTTCATGATTTAGGTTTGAATAAAAACATTTAAGCTGAATAATGCTATAAGGTCTTACAATAGCTAATTCCCATAAGCTTGTAACATTGATTAAGTGGCTACTTATGTTGGGATATTTGTATGGTTTTGTATATTTATCCCTACCTTGTTTCTGTACATTTTAACATTGCTATCCCGACATAATCCTTTAATTTTTTTTACTTGTTTCCCATCTTTTTTAAAATAATACCAATGAATATTAATGAATGGCAGTCGCTATGAAGGCAGCAGTTCTAACCTGGCGAGATGAGTTGTCTTGATGGACATCATGTGTTGAAATTAGTGAAACACTATACTGCTTCTGTACTCCCCAAATTAAAATGTGTAGATCATGGCAACACTTACAAGCATTGGCGAGCAAGGCCTTCTGACGCCAGAACTAAAATAATCAACAGAACATTTGGGTGTTATGCTACTCACTGGTTCTCTACTTTAGGGATTGGCTAACTGAAGGTCTTAACAACTTTTGAAAACCTCGAAAACCTAAGTTAGATGTTTATAAAAATATCTTATATTGTTATAAGAGAGATTTGATAGTATGATGAACAATACATAATATGCGACAGCCATTTTTTCTCTGCCCATCCCTACATACTAAGCACTATGTGCTTAGTGATGTCTCTCAATACGTTAAAATACTTCAACTGGCTTCTGGGGTTCAGCAGAATAAAAATTACATTCATTTCAGATAAAGACAAGGACAAGAATTATTCATGTATATATTGATAATAAGAAGAATAAAATACCACATTATTAAGTCAGGCCAGTGTCTTAGTGTGATATACCACAGGCCTTAGATTACTGATAACAGTGTGAAAGATGTGGGTTGTGGTGTCAGTGGGGACGATATAGAGATGACAACAGCCATCATTCTTTGTCTTTTCTTTACTTTCTCTATTCGAAGTGTTAAAAGTTAATTGTTTTAAGAGCGATAGTTATAACAAGTATGGTTAAGTAACTCTGTAGGTGTCGTATGTTGTGTATGCAGTTTAATTGTTGTATTAGGCTTTTGTAATACTGTTAAGTTTTTTTCGTTGTGTGAATATCTTTATCACTAGAGGGCTAGATATTTATAAATTTTTCTATCGGGTGTTATAAATATGTGCAGAAATAGAGTGTAAGGGGAAGGAAAAATAAGTTAGAAAAAATGAAGTTAGGGAAAATGAAGTCAGACTGTGTGATTGTTAGTTTAGCCATAATGGATGATATATAAAGTGAGTTTCACAGTGGTATTGTAACAACAGAGATAAAGAAGAATAATTTATCTCGTCAAAGGGTGTTCTAAAGTGTTCTGTGTGGACTTTGATGAAAAGGAGACAATTATTCAAAGCTCTGGATACAACTGTAATGACCAAAAGTGTATTGTACATACTGTTACGACAGCGGAAGTCACGTGACGCTAGTAACACGTCATGAGCTTCTAGAAAAT